AATTAATTGTCTCGCTTTATTTGCCGCGCTTATATACAAGAATAGAGGGCATTTAGAACCCACTAGCATCTTCAGGAACCTTCTAGATACTCATCACGTGTTACCAGGGTCACGTGACTTCCGCTGTCGTAACAGTATAATTTCTGAACTGAAGTAATAGTAGGAATAGTTATTAGCTACTAGACCGCGCCTGGAAGTTATTTCGAGATAAAGAAAATACCGTTTGTTTTACTGTTAAGCCAAAGCTACAGAATGAGATATCTGTTCTCTACCTATCACGGGCATCATACCTCGATTTTTAGCGTTATAAGCCCCGAGGGGCAAAAAAAAATTGTATTTTGATAACACTAATAAAGCGAAACATTAAGAATAAATAAAAGTATTTTCTGGATATTATTCCTTTTTAAAACTAAGTTCTTACTATATATATTTCTTTTTATTGAGTGTTAGTTTTAGTATTTTAAAATTTGTTTTAGATCAAGTACATATTTTCTTAGAGAGAAAATTGTGAATGATATTAAGTCCGTGTATATTTCTGAAGTTTTCAGAATTTGCAGTGCCTAATGGAGGAATTTATACATTTTCGACAATAAAATTGTAGAAATAAAATCTTTACCTCAGATAATTAAAAAAAAACTTTTTTTTTCAATTTACGATGAGTTGACTTTGCGTATTGACAGTTTGTTACTGTATACAAAACAAATCTTCTGAATTTTGTTTTCCTAAGCACAGTGCATCTTAATATGGTAATATTTATAATAATAAAACCACGAGAATACTGCATACTCCCTGATAAAAGAAAGTTCACTTTCCGAAAATTAACGGATTATTGGGTTTCTTCTTTAATACTAGTTTTACTCTATTGATTCTCTGTGTTTTTTGAATTTCGTGAATAATACAAAATCACGTTACGGTATATTCTTTATCGAGTTTGATGTGCAATTGTTCAACTATCAATAAAAACAAAGAGCTTAGAAGATGTATATCTCCCAAGCAAGAAATATATTAATTCATGATAGCGTAATAATGTAATATTGTATTATTCAGTATTTAAAATGATGCATTAAAAAATGTTGATAACGCTTAAATTACTTTTCCAGGTTTTTAGTTGTCTGGGGCTGGTAGTGTTACCATGCCAACCAATTTGGATAGCAGGAGTCGCTTTGTTGCGGCCTTGTGGGGGGTTTATTGGAATCAAGTTATTGGGTAGGTTGAGTTTTAAATTTTAAAAATTTGAATCACTTAGTCTTGAGCGTTTTATTTTTCTATTTCCTAAAAACATTTTAATTGCTTTAATTACTTATTATTTTTTAATTAGATCCACTTTAAAGCAAAGCTTCAAGACGTGTCAACGACTAATGACAAGCTTAGACGTCACATTGTTTTTGTTGTTATAATGTTAGTATCTAACAACTTAGTAACATAACGGTGTTATTAACATCTATGGGTTTTGGAGCCCGTTTTACTTCACCATATACTGATATAGTAACATAAATTAATTTAGGTATGTGAATAAATTGTTATGACATTTCGTCGAATTCATTCTACGTCACAGATTCTCTTTTCAATTTCACATCTGGTGAAAAAGAAATATTTAAGTTTAACATATGATATATATATAATCATTAAACAATGTTAACTTAAAATTGTTATTGTTAAATGTTACGAAGAGTAACCTTGACACTGAACTAGTAATTATAAAATTATAACTTAGAAAAGTTTTACATGTAATGATGTAGGCCTAGCGTTTGTTAGTTGTTACACTGAAGCTTACATGAGTCTTTTTAAGTTTAATTTAGGACTTTAAGTTTTACTACTAATCTGTTTCTGTTTAAAAGCATACAAAATTACATTACATTTACAACCCTAAAACAAATAGCGAATTTATTTTTACTTTTACTTTTTTAGGGCTATTTTCCTTACAACTACAAGTTGGTCTTCCATAGACTAGTGATAAGAGCACAAAATTTTCGATTACTTGAATTAGAACAGACTAACTGGAATATGCTAACCTTTTTTTTTTTCACACTAACTGTGTGATTCTGTAATAGTCGTACCTTTCATTTCAGAAAATTTATAGCTCTAAGGATGAAACTTGAAGTTAACATCAGTACTTAGAACAATAATTAAAGAAACGAAAACAATAGTAATGATGCCAATAAACAGATTCTGAACTTGTGGTCTCAGTTTTCACTAATCCAGAAAACTTTGTAGTAAAAGCTGTCTAAATAAAAAGTTAGTCTATACATTTATTGCAACATCCTTTCCCCTGGTCAAAATTAATAACTTGTAAAGTAATCTAACTTTTTTTATGATTGCAAATCTATGAAATAAATTACCTTCAAGAGTGGTTGAGGTTGCAGATTAACAGGATTTAAGGAAAGGATTTATGAATATTGGAGGAAGGGAATAGAACTGGTTTTAGTGATGCATTTTCTGTTAATTGAATCAGCTTGAGACTCAAGACATCTTTTATTAGTCAAAGAACCCCATTGATGTCCCATGCAGAAGTTTTAAAAATAAGATATTAAACCACAGTGTGTGGATTCATTATTTAAACTTGGTAAATGGATAAAAAAAAAGGTGAAGCGGTAGGCTAGCTTATTCAGTTTTCAGTATAAACTGCAGAGGAATCATAACTCTTGAAGAGAAGACCATCTATGATTTAGCCTATGGAGGACATTAATATCTTTTGTATATTTTCATTTATTTTGGGTAATTTTAATTGAATTTTAAGCATTAAATTTATGTTAAGCATCTACAAGTCTCAAAGGATGCTTCAGTTTTCACTGGTATAATGGAGAGAAACAAAGGTAGCAACAACTGAAAAATTACAAAACAAAGAAACCAAAAGGTCCTGAAGTAATAGATTGAAAAGTATGGCTGTTAAATTGTAGTTATCTACTGTAATGATTTGTAGGGACAATATGCAGCTATGAAGATGAAATGTTATTGGATGATTTATATTGCATCATTAAAATGGAGCATATTAACATACATATATTTCAATTTGAAACAATTGCTATATTACACATAATTTTGTGCATATGTCAATAATGAACAGTTGTGACATACATTTATGTACTGCTTTTGTTACTCTGTTAGTAATCCGATGCAAAAAAAGTGCATTCATTTTAATCAAGCTGCTTTGCATAGTTAAGTATTTAATATATGAACAAGTGCAATACCTAAATTTTTTTTTTTCCTTTTTACAAAAATATATATTTTCCATATGTATAATATACCTATTTCTGCATATGTTGTAAATGTCTCTACTATTTTCATGTATCTAGAACAATATTGGCACCTCATAATCAATAAGTGTTAGCCATAGAAGATGAGATACAGACTTGTTGCTGAATAAAATTAATTTTCAGTACTGTTATAAACTTGTAAAATTGTTTTCTTTATACTAATGTTGTTTTAGATTATTTTAAAAATGTATTAAAATATGTTTGTATTTGAATGTAAAGGGTACTTTAATTTGTTTTTGTGATTGTCAAATAGCCTTAGAACTGTCACATGCTTCTGGGGTTCTGACTGACATAAATGATTAAGTTGCATTCTTCATGAAAGTATTTACTTAGGGTAAGTTACTCTCTTAGATGTATATCAAGCTGCCTAACGAGTTCTGATTTAACATAATGTTTAGGGACAACAAGGGACCTATTGGTCCATCTAGACTGTCCCATCCACTAAACTAAACTAAAAATACTAAAAAATAACAACAAAAAACTCTCAAAGCTAGCCCTTACCATGAACCACAAGGAATTGTACAAAACCCTAGTGGAACATTTGGGCAAAAAGCATCTTAAACAATAAAGATTCAGGTCAAACAACATTTACCAATTAAAATGTTTACTGTAAAAATCTTTACTATTGACTGCTAAGGATATACAAATATAAAAATGCACAAAAAAAGCATGCATGCATGTTAGACTTACAAAGAAAAGGAAATCTGCTCAAAATGGCCTGTTTGTAATTATTATTCTTAGCATTATTATTCTCTTGCCAGCCTACAAGAAAAATGGCTTGGTATATTGTACCCAAACTATTTATAGAATACTAAATTAGGTACTGTGAAGGTCATAGGGGTATTGAAAAATTGATTTGTTTCTTCTGTATTTTACATAAACTAAAAAACGTCACAATTCTTGTGTAAATGATGTTATTATTACCCCTTGAAGTTAGCATTTTTAAAATATATGGTGTTCCTTTAAAAAGCTTAAGTACAGGGTGAAACAGGACTTACTAGCCAATAATAAATTAACATTAGATGACTGTAACATGTAGATACTCGGTGCTTTCTATACTATACAATTGGTGTCTTTAGAGAGCCAATCCGTATATTATGTATGAAAACCATATCAGCTAAATACTAGCTATATTTTTATCATTACAATGTATAAAGTTAGCTATCATATCAAGTAACCCTTTGCACATATTTGAGCATAAAAAGCCAGCAAACAAAATAAATAAAATACTGGGAATTTAAAAACTTGCAAATAGGATTGTAAATAATAAGGAAACAAGGCTGGAGACTTTGCAGACATTATTTACTCAAACTAAAAATCCCTATTTTGACTCCACCAAATGTAACTCTAGGTAACAACATGGAACCAAAATAGAGGTTTGTAGTTTGATGTGGTTACATTGTTTATTGTTACCAACATTTGCTATAGATTACCAAGAATTTTTGAAATTTATAGCTTTGTAAGATATCACAATATTACCCCCCCCCCAACAAAAAGAAAGACTTAGTATCTTGAAAATTAATACACAAAGTCTGTGTATAATTATTCATTTATGTTGAGTGTTCCTTCATATAGGTTTTACTATTAATAACTTATAATTTGAATACAGATCCAATACAAAAGGACCTGCTAAAGTCCAAGATGAGTGATACAAGGACAACATATATTAGGTTATGTAAAGATGTTCATATTGAACCACAGGAAAGTTTAATACAAGAAATGAAAAGGTAGGTTCTAAATTTACATAGAAAACAGAGGACTTTAATAGTGTGTGAGAAAGGCAAAATGGATAAATTACATGCTAACTGCATTTGATTATGAAACATGCTAATTTAAATGTGGTGTTAAATCTTTATGTAAATGTACAGTTCCACTAAGTTAAGCATTTATAGTGAATGTAATTCATTGAATCTTCTAACAATTTGACTTTTATTTGAATTGTATCTGCAAGCACATCTGCACCCATTAAATGGTTTCATCAAAAGTAATCATTGTTAACAAACAAAAGTAGCTTTTCAAATAATAATAATTTTTTGAAGAATGTTATATAATTTCAGAAAAACTATTACTAAACTTATAGCAAAGTAGCTTATTTAGCTTACTGAAATATGTATTAGTATGAATCAAATTAAGAATGACTGTGCTGTTAGAGTTTTACTGTCTTCTCCATAAAAACAAAAAAAATTGTCTAAGATATCGGAGAAGCTTGATTTCTTAGGATATTGGATATTATACAGATTTAACTGTCACATGCTTTACACCTGTGATAAGTTGGACAATTTGTCAACAGGCTGTAGGGGTTATGTATAAGAGATTCTGGACTTTCTTCAAGCTTGTGTGTTATATATGTACATTAGTTTGAGAAAATAATAACTTCCATTGTTTCAGAATTTGTAGTTCTAAAACTTATAAATTTGTGTTATAAGTGTGTATATAATATATTCATAACTATGATAATATGAGAAACAGTAATTGGAACTTTAGGAGTAGTGTTGGTAAAGTAAATGTTTGTAATTGTTTCATTGTAACTCATTTAGGTAAATAAAAGTTAAAACATGAAAAAATTAGCAATAACTTAGTAGTAAATGCATCTGCAGTTATAAGTATTAAAAAATCAGAATAAAACTAAATTTACCTTATAACTAAGATTTGCAACAACATGACCCATTCACTAGTAATTCCGAGAATAATACATAGTGGACTATAAAAGTGAAGTACTTTTTTATGGTACATTTATTTGTTCATGTTTTTTTATTACAAAATCTGAATTACTTTAAAAGTGTTCTTCTATGATTTATGCTTTAGATTAAGTCCAGAAAACACTCTTCTTGACTTGTCAACATGTAGCCTAACAACTGAAATGTGTTCTGTATTAGGGAAGTTGTTTGCCATAGATTACACACTAACCCAGCTTTCTCTAGCTGACTGCATGCTTCCAGAAGATGGTAAGTTATAACATTGAAATTAGTACACTAAAGAAAGTGTTTACTGCAGAATACAGTATGTCAGTTTATCTAAACAACTACATGAAAGTTAACATGTTATAAAATTTGTTCTATTATCAAAGAAGCCAATTATGAGATGGTTAGTAGTGTATCAAAAATGTACTGTCAATTATTTTCCATAGGGTTATCTAACATTCAGTCTGCAAATTGATGAGATTGAATTTGTTGGACCGGGAGGACTACAGTAGGGATGTCACAGGTTCTGGTATTGAAGTTAGAACCAAAAAGAAATGTACTCCAATAAAGAATCTTTTAACCTAAAAAAAAATAACCAAGCTAAAAGTACCCAGCTTTAAATATTGTTTGGAGTTTGAGGGTTGTCCAGACTGTGCTCCTCTTGCACAAAATAGTAGAAATGGCCATGTTTGTAACTGTAATTGGTCAAATAAAAACACTTATAAATATTAATTCCTGATTGGTGTAAAACAAGGATAAACCATTGATTTATCTATATATCCTCATATGCTATGTTGGTGATGCTGCCTTGGTGTTACTGCCACTGTTTTTCTGCTAATATTGCTACTCATGCTGCTCTGCTACAAATACTATTGCTACTACAACTGCTATTTCATCCTTCACACACAAGACTAGCTCCTGCAACCGACTTAGCAAGCAAGCCTGTGATTCCAAGCAGAAAATATCACAACAAAGATAATGATAACTAGACATGCTTTTGCACATATTAGTGATTTATGCCTTCCTTAGCCATTTCTGTCAATAGAACTCAGGGAAACTGCAGAGAAAACAGCTTTGTAGAGCTGAGGAACCCCATTTTGTATTGAACAAGATATGCAGACACTACTGTGTTTTGTGTAGATATTTACCATAACATTAAAGGACAGTAAGATACCTTTTGGTCAATTTAGGCCTTCCTATCCACTAAATTAAACTAAACAATTAAAAACTTAAATCCAACCCTTATGATTCAAATATATATCAAGCTTTTTCTTAAACTCTGTTAAATTAACTGCATCTACTACATCTGAGGGGAACCCATTTCAAAGGCTAACCACAATGTGAGAAAAATAAGGCTGTCTTAGCTGAAGATTACTCCTATCCTGCCAGCATTTATATTTGTGTCCCCTAGCCTTACCATATTCACCATTAAAGACAAAAAAAGATGATGCATCAACACTATCAGTTCTCTTAACAATCTTAAACACCTCAATCAGATCCTCTCTAACTCTTCTTTCTTCAGGAGAAAATAAGTTCACAGATCTTAACTTATTCTTGTGTAACAACCTTTCCATCCCAAGTATAATAATGGTACCCCTTCTCTGAATCTTTTCCATCAATTCAATATCCTTTTTAAGGTAAAGAGCCTAAAAGTGAACACAGTACTCCAAATGTGGGCTAACCGATGACTTATACAATGACATAATAATCTCTCTAGACTTGTAATCAATATTTTTCTAGATACAACCTGAAATCCTATTTGCCCTGCCATAAGCAACACCACATTGCCTGTATGACTTAAGAGACTGATGAAGTAGGACACCAAAATTGTTTTCTTTCACAACACTGTTAAGGTTATTCTCATACAAATTATACTTGAAATTCAAATTGTGATATTCCACATGAATTACCTAGCACTTAATGTAATTAAAAGTCTTCTGCCATTTATTCACTTAACTTGCCAAATAATCTAAATCTTTTTGTAAAGCCATAACATCCTTGGCACAGCCAGTAGCACTCAAAACTTTAATGTCATTGGCAAATCTGTATAATCTATTGATCATTCCATCATCTATGTCATTGATGTAAATCAAAAAGAGCAAAAGTCCTAACACTAGATAACCCACTAGTGACATTAACCTAGTTTGACTAAACTCCATTTATGACAATCCTCTATTTTTCTTCCATCAAGCCAGTTTTCTATCTAGTGAGCCAACCTACCCCCACCTCAGAGATAACTTCTTAACAAAAAAGCCTTTTATGTGGCACCTTGTCAAAAACTTTCTGAAAATCCAAATACCCCAAATCCACACTTGTTCCCTGATCTTCATAAGCAGTAACCTCCTCAAAGAATGTCAAAATATTAACAAGGCAAGATTTTCCCCTAGTGAAATGATGTTGACTATAGAACAAAATAATTTTGGAAAGAATCTTTTATCTAATTTTATAAAACTTTCCCACCACTGATGTAAGACTAATAGGCCTATAATTGAACAAAATATTAAGACTTAAAAAATTTAATAACTTAATAATCTATTGAAATTCCCTTGCTGATGTAGTCTTGACCATTGAGCAAATGTCAAATCAACTGATAGAAATAATAATGTACTAAAATTTCCTTTAGTTGTGGTAATTATTTTACAATTACATTGAAAAGAACAGGAATGCAATATAAGTGGGGAGGGTACAAAACCATCAAAGTTGATATAGGTGGAAGGAAGAAAGTTTAAATTTTGTGATATCTAATTTGTTTATGCATATGATTTAAAAAGGTATTAAAAATGTGTTCACATGTATGATTTTCTTCATTGTAATCTCAACATATTATTACCATCATCAGTTTGTTATTTTTATAGGAATGAAGGCTGTATTACTTGGACTTTGTAGCAACAGAACAGTAACATCCTTAGACTTGAAGGTAATCATTATTTTGTGTTTCATAATCATGTGTATGTGCATGCATACATTTTAATGGTCAAAACAGGAATTATCAGCCTTAGCCTTTAGCCCTCAGTGTGGTTTATCTAGATAAAAGTTAATTAACTGTCAAGTTATAATGAATGGGTCTTTTTGATAACAGGAGACATGATATTGATTAGTAATACTGAATCTCTTTCTGATTAAGTCAAAGTCATATGGAATAATGAGACTAAACAGAAAGTGACAACACAAAATGTACAGTCATTATTAAACACAAACACAGTGTTTGTACTTGTTTTAGAATATGACAGACTATTGCTTTTACTGAATACTCTCAGTGGCATACTATTCAATACCCTGTTCCAGACTGTTTAAGCACAATGTTCCTTAGTTTACATGAAATTTCTCATTTACCCATTGCAACAAGCACTACTCCATGTGTCTGGTCATTCTCATTACAACTTAGGTAGGGGCATAACTTCTAAATATCACCTGAACTATCATTAAGGGACACTGTGGTCTAAATCCTTTCACAATGTATTGTATTGAGTGATATCCTTCTGGGTGGTAACAGGTGTTATCCATTTCAAGAACAACAAAGACAACTAGGATAAAATTAACTTAATGGCTTTCTTGACCATGTTTTATATGAAAATGGCACATACATAGAACAAAGAATATATTCTATAACATTACAAGAAGATAGAAGTACATGGTATATTCAATATTTAGATACCACACTCTCCTGCTTCCTTACTTCAGATTTGTCCTCAAACCAACATTTATATTTAACTTCAAAACCATTAAATTTGAAACTTATGTTCTGGTCAAGAAGTATGTTAACTTTTCTTTCACCCTTGAAAAATACCTACATATACCACACAGAGGTCACAACCCTTAAAGAAAATCATTACATAATAATAATTTTCAAAAACATCCCTTAACTCTCTGAAAATGGGTAAGTCAAAGTCTGCATGTCACAACTTTTTTTTTCTTTGCAGAGTTACATTCAAAATTCAAATTACTTTATTACCAGTGTATATCACTGAGTTCAAGTTGACTTTGTTATGTAGGTTTAGTAGTTAGACATGGTTCAAAGAGTAACAAAACAATAAAACTAAATAAAAAACAGGTGTAAACTGTTATGAACTTAAGCCTCTTTTTAGGATAAATAATTATAATGTTCTGTTACAATCTACAGTCATTCTAAAATGTGGTTATAAGGTTGGTCAAATGGATAAAGTCTGAATAGTTATAGGATAGATGAAACAACAGATAAAATATACAGTTTCTGATACGGTACCTTACCTCCCTCACAGATATAGCTATTCTCGTTCAGTGCTGCCCTCTATACATGTATGCAAAAATGTTTTCGCTTGCCACAAGCCTCGAGCTCCCACATACTCCATGATCAATGTGGTTGAACTGTGTCTCACATGTAAATCATCATGCGACATCCCTCCACCAAAAGGAGTCCAACACACCCTTCTGTGACTCATTCTATTCAATTCTACTGACCTATCACTTCTTGTTTGGCAGTGCTATAGTCATGACATTTTTTGTTTGCTCTCTTCCCCCTTTTTTTTAAATTTCATATGAAGTGGAAATATTTTTCAATGTTTTTTTTTATTTTCCCCTACTTCACTTGATTCGATCACTTACCTTTATTGTTCTTCACTTTTCTTTTTTTTTCATCTTCACCAAAGTTTATGTTTCCACTCAAAAGTGATCTCCCATCACTTCCAGCACACTCACAGCTTCAGGTGGCAGTACCTAACTGGAGGAATTGTTGGCTTTCATACATCGTGCCTCAAGTTTGGGGCCCTACACATTTTGACTATGGTCTGCCGACTTTGGACAGATAAGCTGTTATACTGTTATAAGATTTTGATTTTTTTTTTACTTTGGTATTAATATTTGTTGTTATTTTGGTTCAGTAACTTACGTTTGGTTAGTGTCTGTTATTTTAGGCTTACATGTCATTCATATTATTGATAAATCGTAAATTAGGTTAATTATATTGTATTCTTCACCAAATACCTTCTAATAAATTTTTATTGTAAATACATACATAATATTACAATATAAAGACTATTTCATTTTTGTTATTATTTATATTTTCTACTTCTTACAATTAATTTGGTGTGTGAGGACCTCAAGGGCCAGGGTCCACCCAACCTTGCCAATATTGCTCGCCCTTCTTCCTAAAAACTGCCAACCTGTTTGGAATGACATGATTTTGACATTTTTCCTCCACCTGATTATGCCTTGCTTCCCAAACCTTTCCTGCAAAGTCTGCTAGGCCTATATCAGCCCTTTTTTAGACACACATTTCACGGAAAAAAGTTTACACTCCTCCAGACACTATATTTCATGCTGGGTCCTTTTGTTTCTTTTGGGAGAAGGTGCTTGCATGCCTTGCCCTCCATGGGTTTGGTTCATTTTGCCTTAGCCTACCTTAAGGTAGATTGTTTTTTGTTTTCTTGATTCTCTGCAGTTAGAATCTCTGTTGCTTATTTTTTTATCCCCCGTCAAGTTTTCCAGCTTTCGTCTTTCTGAGGCATTCAGACTAATTCTTTGAGATTTTCATGGGATACCTTCTCCATGTTGGGGTGATTGCCATCTTCAGCTCTTTCTCTACAGATGTGGATTATGTGCTTTTGGGATCTTCTGGGATGGGACACTGTCTTGTACCAAGTTCATTTACTGTCCACTTCTGCTTGGGACTTACGGACGGCTTTTGTTCTCCACCAGTCCATTTTTTGGAAGATGAGTACACCTGTAACTTTAGTGTCACATGGGATATCTGTGATGCTTCATTCAATTTTTCTTTTTTGGTTGCTCATTTGTCTGTTACTGAGAGATTACATTCTTTATTCATGTTTCATGTCTGGCATTTTCCTGTCATTTACCTGTGCTACCTCTAAGTGTTCCTCCATTAGTTGTATATTCTCAATGCTGATTAGAGTTCTGTGATCAATATGTCTCACCTCAATCACTTCTTGGTTCTTTTTCATTTTACTGTGTTGTCATTTATGACACTCTGGTGAGCCATTTTCCTCAGGACTGAGGATGCCAAAGGTAGACGTTTCATATACTTATACCCACGTTCCTATTTTTCATCCCTCGTGATGCTATCTTAAGTTTGTTCACCACAGGGTTGGGTACCAGTTTCGTGCCTTATCCTTTGACCTTGTTTTGGATCCATCAGTCTTTTGTCCAGTGGTCAGTTTTACCTGACTTCAGCATGGGGGAGATTGTACTTATACCACAGCCTGGTCATCTGGCTTCTGTTAGCTCATTCTGTACTGGAGTTGTCACAATATACTCATCTGCTTCTTACCCACACAGCTTGGGTGGTTGGATTTTCCAGTTGGAGAACTCTTTCCCATTACTTACCTAACATTCTTGACCTTTGGTGGGTGTCTTTTTCCACATCCAACTCTATCTGTCCCATACTTCTCCACTTCAACTGCTTTTGGTGGAACTTTCAGTTTTCCACTCCATTATTACTGTTAACTATCTTACTATTAGTGAGGTTCTATCACTTTGGGGGATGTGGCTTCTATGGAAGCACTTATCTCATTGGGTCTGGCCCATATGTGATCTCTTCAGGGGATGCTACATGACCCATGGAATCTTGATAGGGTTCCTTTGGATTCCCCTCTTAACTTTCCCCCTTCCTTCTTCACCAATATGCATTGGTGGTTGAACAAAGCTCCCACGTGATTGAGACCTCTTCATCCCTCTCTTCCAGATTTGTTTCTCTTCCCTGATGTTTACCTCCAAGCTTGAGGGGCATGGGTCATACCATGTTCATGCCATGGAACTTCTGGCATTCCAACATTCGTTTGTTTTCTTTCTGGTCAATCGACCTTGGAACTTCCTTTTTGGGGCAACAAACTTGATGTACATCTCCTAGTGCACCCTTTTCCGGGTGCTTTCAACCTCGTTGTGGATCATCTTTTCAATCCTGACACACTTTATCCCACGGAGTGGTCTCTCGATTCTCAAAAATTTCTGGTGGCTCTGATTCCAGTGGAATACTCCTTTGTGGGATGCATTTCTCTCTTTCCTTGATCTTAAGTTATCTTCTTTTTTTGTCTCTGGTTCCTCATCCACTTGCTCAGGCTGCCTATGCATTTCACCAGGATTGGGATAAGTTTATACCTTTATTTTATCATCCCCTCTATCATCTTTCCCAGTGGACTTTACTCACCCAAGCCACTCCGTGTCAGACTGCTCCTTCCTGGCTGGCACAGATCTGATTTTCTTCGCTGCTTCAGCTTAATACTTTCTTTTTGTTCTGGATCGATTTTTCCTAATCTACACTTTGGTGACTCGTGTAGTATGTTCTTCCTTTTTCTCATTTTCATTTCCTTCCATCTCCTACTTTTATTCCCAGTTGGATCTGGATAATCTTCTATGTTCCATACGTGCTCTTGGTTGCTTAATTGCCTTCAAGGCTTCTTTCTGTTGATTCTCTTTTTCCACAGTTTTGTTCTCTGGCACCACTCCTTAGTTTGTGACTATTTCCTTTCTCCCTTACCAATGAGAGTCAGCTTTTGATTTGATTGATTTTTATTTCTTCATTGACTCCTTCTTCCCACAATTCCTGATGTCTTCACTCTGATCAGGCACCTTAACTTTTACCTGCACCTCACCCCCCATTGTACGTTGGAGGTACTTCTTCCATTGAGCACTAGGACTATACCTCATATATTTATCTCCCATTATTTGCTTCGGATAGCTGTTTCTTCCACTTGTTGCCATCTTTCACTCTTTGGTGAGACTGATGGGGAAAGTTACCTTTTTGTATATGTACCTCTTCGTTTTCAGGGGCATGTCCTTTTTTTTCCTTAAAGGATGCCGCTCTCTGGTGAGTGAAACCTGTCCAGGTATACTTAAACTTGTCAAATCGCACTGTAATGCCATGATGACATCACAATTATAACTTTCATGGCCACTAAATGTACACTGTTGAGATGAGGTAAGGTG